CTAGGCATCCCTACCGGATGCTTTTCCACCATTTTATTTTATTTCTGAGGAACTACCCTGCCCAAGCTGGATGACTTGGCAGAATTACCAGGATTAGGACTGATGTATCAGATGTTCTGATTCCAACGCAATGTTGTTTCCACTCCACAATATTCCTTTCAGTTTAAAGCAACTGTGTTATTTTTTTTTTTATTTCGGCATATTATGGGGGTACAGATTTTAAGGTTTCAATAAATGCCCATTCCCCCCCCCCCAACTGTGTTATTTTTATGACACAGTATTAGTATATAGCATCAGGAAGTTTGAGCCTGTCTCATGGGATGGTGACAATAGACTAAATGATATAGTTTATATGCATAACCTATGGGCTTATGCATTTGTATACAGGATCATTTCCCATTCACCTACTTAACTGCACAAGGAAGCCACACCCGTTCTTTGGAATGTTGCCACTGGGACAGGTGGTGGTGTGGAAGGTTGGCAATTATGTTAGAGCTGAATTGTGGATGGGGGACAAGGTGCTTAGGAACTTTCAGAAATTTTCATTTTTTAATAAAAGTAATTGTTGCAGAGGAAGAGAACCTCAATTTATAGAAAAACAAAAACATAAATGGCCTTAGTCTTCAGGTATTCCAAGGGTGGATAAAAGCCTGTGGCACTCTTATCTGTGTTTCTCCCTTGGTAATCCTATTGAATTTCTTGGTTTTAGCTATCACCTCCCTCCAAGGGAGAAAAGAAAACAACCTTCCAAAACTTCAACTATCATCGCTTAAGTGCTCAACTCCAACTTTCTACTATCCCCTGGACACCTTACTCCTAGATTTTCCCAGGCTGCTCAAATGCAAACTGTTCACAGGGAAATCATCTCTGTCCCCACAGTGGTCAGCAGCTCCTGCATTCCCATTTACCATTTAGTGTATTGTCATCATCCTATGGGACAGGCTCAAATATGGTGCTATCTCTACTCCTCAGGTCTCACTGCCAATTTCTATTAATTGTACCTACCATCTTGGTCCCATCTGTCTCTTCTCCCGCTACCCCAATTGAAATGCTCCTGGAGTGCTGGGCGTTCCAAATAGTTAGTTCCCTTTTGTAATCCTTTGTTCTAGCTCTTCTATCTGGAAACCCTTTTCACCATTTCATGTTCATATCTTATGTCAACAACTTACTACCATTTTCATGTAGCCTTCCTGATACATTTGGCTGAAAGTATTTTCTTCCTACCCTGAATTTCTAAAGATCATATTCCAGCCTTTCTTGTGGAACACACTTGTTTATTAATAAAAACAATATTTGTTGAGCATATACATGCATATATCTAGGCACTTTGTATACATTTTCACTTAATCCTCTGAGCATCCCTATGAGACCTGGAAAACCTTTCAGATATATATGAGCATTGTTGCCAGTGCCCCATCACCTGGGATCCAGGTTTAACTGCTGTCAGGCACAGCCTGGACAGGGGACTTTTAAAGACTCCCTGGGTGATTCCAATGTATAGCTAAGGTTCAGAACCACTGGTATAACTCCAAACCCATTTGCCAGATAGTCTTGAGTAGTTAGTATCACCTCCGAAGCTTCAAAACACAAACAGATGCTGGGCTCCAGCCCAATCCTACCTTGTTAGAATCTCTGGGGGATAGAGCCTGTGAATCCACATTGTAACAAAGCTTCACAGGTGACTGTCACATAGCCAGGATTGAGAACCACTTTCTTGATCAGACACTGCATCGTCTCCCTCTCCTCACCATAGAACAAGTAATTATAGATGTCTTCTTTGAGGACAGGTTTACATTTGATTCACCTTGGTCTGCTTCCTGGCACCTAGGAAGATTCCTCAAACATAGTATGTCTTAGAAACCAAGGAACCAAGAAAATGCCTTTTGTTGATGTTATAAGACAACAAAGAACACCTTTGCAGAGTACATGTTCTCTTTGTACTAGGCTTTTAATCTCTGATATACAGGCCTGCAAACTAAGCAAGTCATTTCAGTTATCTGAGCATCATAGTTGCATGGCTATTAAGTGCCAGGGTGAAGATTTGAACCCAGTTCCTCCTGACAGTACTCTTTCCTGTGTATCTCAGGCCCAGTTCCTCCTGACAATATTCTTTCCTCTGCATCTCAGGCCTTAAAAGCAACTACAAAATGAAAAATTCAGCTATCCATGTGTTTGAATATATGCCGTCAAGACATGTTTCTAAACTTTGAACATAACCTGTCAAATGGGGGGAAAAAAAGCTTGTTTGCATTATGAAATGAATTTGGAAAAATATGTTAGTTTAAACCTAAAAATTAATTGTAGGATCTAGCAGGTATCCCCTTTCTTCTCTTCAGTTCCACCCTCCCTCCAACCCAGACACACATACAGACAGACAGACAATCGTACCTCTGCTCATTCTTTGACATTTCTTGACAACTGTTTAGTTACTGCATTGGCAATTGTCTTAAGGTTTTTCTTCTTTTTAGTCTGTGCTATTTCTTAAAGACTTTTAAAATAACCTGAGCTTCTGGTTATGAATGAAGTCTTTTTAAAGGTTCATGTACAGTTTACTTAAGATAATAAATTGGTATTGGGTATACACTTCTAATGTTTCATTCAATGTGAATACACACATAATTTTTGCATACAGGCATAACAAGGTTGAAATGATACTCAAGACCTTGGAAACATGGCTTTCAGCCCCTGTTTGCCATTTCCAAAATAGGTGACACCGGACAGGGAATGAACTTTCCTCACCTAAAATATGAAAGGGAGAGGGGGCTAATATAGACCTTCCCCAGTTTTCTTCCTAATATGAAATGTTATGATCCTTTAAAATAATAAGTCATTTATTAGGCTTTTGGTCAACATTAAGTTAATATCTGGTCCTTATCCTTATTGGTTGATATTTCTAAAGGCAAACAGAGACATTATGATTTGTAGAATTCTTTACAGTTTATGAAGTCTATTTTATACATCTATTACCACCTTTGATTTTCATAACATAACAGCAGAATAGTCACTATTATCCCCATTTCACAGAAAAGGAAATTGAGACACAGAGAGGCTGAGTGACTCACTCAAGGTGACAGAATCAGAAAGCAAGTCTAGACCCTTACCCGACTCAGGTTTGACCCCCTCCAATACCAGGCTGATGGCCACAGGCAGAGCTGGAGATCAGAGGCAGAGGCAGGGTAAATCTGACACGCCAACCCCTCCCCTTCCCGCCCTTAGCCTGTCTGCTTTCCCAAAATGTTTTCCAGTCCAGACGCCTTTAAATTGCTTTGGAATAGAATACCAAGTGGGGATTTATTTAGCATATCATTTCTGGATGTGTGTTTTCCTGAGCATTTATAGATCTGTGTTTTTCCAAGAAGCTGAGTGTTCCTGATAAAACAAGACAGATAATGATAAATGAGCATCTATGTAAGCCTAGCTGGGAGGAGGACCAGAGACTGTTAACACCCCTCCTGTGAAGTTAATCCCATTTCTTTTAGCTATTTCTTTATTAGTTAATGAGGTCTTGCAAAAATGTGTGTCTGTGATGGTGTTTTAGCATCCTTGCCTCTAGGAACATTTTCAAATATTCATAAAGTAGCTCATCTGACCAAAGCTTAAAGCAAAGGTGCATTAAGTATGAATTTAGTCAACTTCAAATGTGGGTGGTCGAAAAGCTGCTACTGAAATAACCCAAATAATCCTCCTCATTGGTGTTTCCAGAGCTGCAGCTCTGGGCGCAGATGTGAAGGGTGACAGGGAAGAGGTATCATTTAGAACAGCTAGGACTCCGAAGGGCAGCCCTGTAAGCTTTGATCCTGCATCCTGACTGACAGGAGTGTGGCTTGCTATTGGAAAGCTGAATAACTTAAGAGAAACACAATAAAATGGAAAAGGAATTGCCATTGGAGCCCCTGGGAAGGAGAGCAGACACTAGATCATATTGTTCCTGGGAGGCGAGAGACCTACTTCCCACTTCGGTCCCTATGGCAAAGGGGGAAAAGGAGAATCTCAAAAGATAGTTTGGCACTCAATGATGCATTTGGAGAGGCAAAGCAAATGTGGAAACTCCACTTAGCTACTAAACTGAGCTCCATGGTACAGTGAATCACAGCAATTACCTCTATGACCTGGTTTTGGAAGATTCCCCACACTGTAGCAGGGTCCTCAGAACACAGCTAGAATAAGTACACACACACACACACACACACACACACACACACACAGCCTCCAAGCTCCCTCCGCCCCTGCCACACACACCCCTAACAAAGCATAGCTACACAGATCCTTCATATTTTTCACATAGTCTCTCTCCTATTTCTGGGCAAGGACCTCTGAGCTGCCACCAAAATGGTGCGAGTCTTCCTGACCCTACTTTACTACAAGCTCGAGGAACAAATCATGGGCCAAAGTCCTCTGACCATCCACCCCACAGGGCACCGTAATCAATCACTGCACCCCTGGTAACTCAGTGCTGCCTAACACGAAGTATCTATCCTCGAAAGAACCCATTCCTGGCATTACCACTCGGTCTTTTATTCATTGGAGTCTGTAACCATTTGCAATGTTGACCCTCACATAAAGGGACACTCTGAGCCACACTTCTGAAAGGAGATAGCCATGTCATCCCACTCAAGTACAGACTTGGAGAGAGACAGGCATCTTCCATTAACAAGAGCTAATAATGAAAACATTTCCTTTTGCAGCTCCAGGCTCACCTTTTTGGTCATTTTATCTGGTTATGAAGTTCCCTTTAATGTGAAGAAAAAAAAAAAGTCCTTTAAAAAATAATAGCAACAACACCATAATGACGCTGCCTTGAGAAATGCTCAGAGCATAGTATTATTTCATTTTGTCTCCCGCCATGAGGACACTGAGGGCATGCTGCCGGCCGGTATGATTGCAGAAGACACAGCGAATGGTGGTTGTTCCCGACGTAATTTTGCCTTTCTCCAAAGAAATAACTGTTATATCCGGAATGTAAATGTGACTGGTGTCCTGAACTGAATGTTCTTTTACAGGTGATTCACATAACAGGCCGGCTACGCCTGAGAGTGTCGCTGTCCCACGGGAGGACCGTCCCCAGCCAAATCATGGGTCTCGTGGTTGTGGCTCATGCCTTGCCTCCCCCGACGATCAATGAAGTCAGAATTGACTGCCATATGTTCGTCACTCGAGTAAATATGGACCTCAATATCATTTACTGTGAAAATAGGTACTTTGTTTTTGATTTCATTTGCCCTGTTGAACGTAGCACACACTGGTGAGGGTTTGTGGTTTCAGCAGCCTGAAAGCTCATTAGGAACCCTGATCTTGTTTTTAACGGCTGCTTGGACTGACATCAAGCATGCTCTGTATTTAAAATTGACATCGCTGCCCTGATTTACATTAAGGACAACAATTAAATGAATGGGGATACTCAGACATCCATAAGCTACAAAGGAGGTTCATTTTGGCTGAGAACCTAAGGAGAGAGCAGGGCTGAGACGTTATTGGCAAAATGATGCAGGAAAATGTATCGCCCGATGCCTCAGTGGGACCCACTTCTGACTAATTCAAGAGTCCAGCCTCGTGATGGTCAGTGTTCACGTAGACATTAAGCATGAAGAGAACAAATGAGAATTTGAGGCCCCTAGAGGAAAAAGGAGGAGAAAGAAATTTGCAAAGCTATTAAATAAAACTTTGTCATCCTGAGGATTTCACTTTTGTAAATTACGAAAAAAGATGACTCATCATATAAATGAGCTGGCAGTTCTTCCTCAAGATGGAGGTTTTATAAAAGGACTTTTTAGCCTCTGGTTTAAAAGTTCACTTTTTCCATTAAGCACAAAGCAAGGGACAAAGAAACGGGAAAGTCCCCTTTCAGACCTTTCACCTAGAGTTGCCAGCCCATCATGAGGCTGATTTGAAGAGGGAATGATGGAGTAGGAGGTGAGCAGTGGAGAGGAACTGCCCACACATCCGCCGTGGGAAGGATGCCATGGCCAGACCATCCCATCCCTGGGACCAAAGGGAGAATTACTGAGTCAGTTGGGCAGGATGCTTTTGCGGCACAGTCATCGTCAGGCTTGAAGGCGCTCTATGTTCACCGAGCCCGGGGAGTGCCTTCAGAAGAGAGGTGGAAGAGCAGACTGGCCCAGTGCCTGGTAACCGACCTCTGCAGAGCCCAGCTGAGAGGAGGACAGCAGCTCCCGCATTCAGTCGCCAGGGAGCACTGAAGATGCTGAGGTCAAGTTACAAGCTGCCTGCCATTTCCAGCCAGTGTCTGATTCAGAGGAAAGAATTCACCAGTGGGGAAAGATACCCACCTGAGCTTTGAGTATTCAATAGGGTAGAAGATACCCTGAACTGTCACTGTCACTTAAGTAACTCTAATTAAATCTTCTCAAGTTTTCTTGGCATTTATCAAAATGTCCTCGTGACTGTATGTCTAAGGCCTTCTGGAAGGGCTGCAGAACATCAGGAAGGACAAGGTAGCCAGAAGGATTGGCTGGAGTTGGCAGGCAGCACTGAAGATGGCTGGCGTTTAGGGAACACTCACCACACACCGGGCCGTGTGCAAAGCTCACCATCTGCGCCACGTTCTGTGGGGTAGGTGCTGCCACTGCATCCCTCAGGTGACTTCAGCTGAGGGGAAAGTTGAATGACTTGTCCTCAACCAACATTCAAACCCAGGTCTACCAGATTCAAAAGCTTAGGCACTTAGCTATATCCCATGAGCTCTCCCTGGAGTCTCTCATTTTTCTTCAGAAGTTAGACTAAATGGCAAGCTATCGGTCAGAATAACCTCTGAGAGGGATTTTTTTATACATACGCACCCATGGAAGAACAGATACAGCCCACGAAACAGTTTATTCTCTGATTAGAAACGCAGAGTGCTGAGTGAGATCCAACTGAGGGAGGCTGACACACAGTCAGAGGAGGACTCTGGCGTTGCTGCTTTGAAAACATATGTCAGCTCGCTTGACTTGGATTTACCGCCTTCACTGGATCCAAAGAACAGGGCCTCTTCCTATTCACCTAATTCCAGTGATTGTCCTATCCCAAAACATCACTTAATTTTCATTCCTGTGATCAACTCATTAATTCTTTTGACAAGCTCCGTGGACCTGAATGCTGCATGGTGCCACTCTCGTAATTGAGATCATTTTCTCTGACCTGCTTTTAGCGTTTTTCTTCCCATTTAAAAAAGAAAAAAAAAAAAAACCTTCCCAAAACCCCCTATTAGCCAATACAACACAACACTATTTCCCACCTGAAGATGATAGTATTAATAATTATGAAAAAGACCTTTATTAAAGGCAATTGCATATTTGATCTGAGGAAAAAGCATACCGTGAACCCGCCGCTATGCTAACTTCATTCCACTCATTAATCGCCGCACCAACCTCTTAGGTTGTTGTACAGATGAGGAAACTGAGGCACAGAGTAAAAGCTGCCATCAGGATTCTGATCCTGATATAAACCACCCCACTGGTCTGGTGCTTTCTATACATATATTAAGAGACCCTTGAACACAGAACAGGGGACTGGACACGATCACCACAGGAACAGGCTCCATACATGAGAAGGGCTTCAATTGTTTTGAAGGATTTATTTCAAATAATGACTAAACTAAAGAACTGTCTTCCCTAAAGAATGGAGTGGCTCCTTCCATGGGTTTATTATTTAATTAGGGAAGCATTAACTAGAAAGCAAAGCTTGCTCCTCCACTGGCTGACCATTTTTCTAAGTCCCCAGGACAAAGCCCACGTCTAATGCTTCCAGAGGAGTGAATGAATTTCAGAAGCACCAATGAAGGTCTTTTAATGACATCCTTGTTTCCCCATTTGCAGAAGGGGGTATAAACTGTGCTTGGAAAACAGCTAATGGTATTAGGAAAACACCAACTAATCTGTTTTGTTCCAGAAAAACCATAGAATCTGAGAAAACCTTCCTTTTTATTTCCCCAATTCATCTTATCTTACCAAGAATTCTGGTTTGGCCAAAAATATTACTTAAATTGCTAGACATTGGGAAATGCACTCACTGGGTAATATATTTTAATTATATTTCATATTATGTTTTATCCTTTCTCACTTCCATGCTTTGGAGGTAAGCCTTAACTCCCCAAGAGTGATCTTTTAAAATGTGTCATTTCTAAAGATTCAATTCATGTTTGAACAGCCTGTATGTCATAAAATATAAAAACACAGGGACAGTAAAGAGGATACCTTAAGCAAGATGTATATTCTTCTATTTTAGACTGACCACGAGGAAACCGTACGTGGTTATCGAGGGTAGTCAGCACCGTGACATGCTTGTATAAACCAGGCAGAGTCCCCCAACATGTTTTCCAATTTGGTTCTATTTTTCCGTGCTCTGCCTGAGGACATTGACGTCTGTACAATCAATGACAGAGGCTTACGCACACGTACTGTCGAGCACAAGCCTGGAAGAGCTGCTGAAACAGTTTAAAAGTTTCTGTGTGGAATCCACCACAAAGTACCAGTTAAAAGGGCCAGGAGTGAAAGCTGAGCTCCCAAATGACTAAGACTAAAAAAGATAATACCCCCAGGCATCTGTATGTCTCAGCATTTAAATTATATCCCTTGAAATGCCAATTTGGACTTTGTGCCAAGAAGCAGTTGAAGCCCTTTTTCATGGAAATACCCAATAGAAGACCAATCTGTTTAAATGAAAGGTGTCTCTAATCATTTGCTATAAACATAACATGTTTTTATTTTATTATGTAACCTTGAATTATCTTGGCTTGTAATGAGGATCTTGCATTGTTACTGATTCTCAATAATTTCATGGAATTATGTTGTCTAAATGTGCATTCTAATGCCAAAGAAAAAGAAAAACCTATCTAATTATTTAAACACAGTTGCTCGATCTAGCCCATTTCTTACTTTAGAAAAAGACTGTTACACGTTAAAGAAATAATCTTAACTATAAAGGGTTTTCCCTCAAAGTGCCACGTTCTCACGGGTCCTGCGGTATAATGAAAATGTGTCAGTAGATCTGTTTCTAAGTTATTTGACAGTTTCTCTGTTTTCATCCTTTCTGAATTCTAGCCTGTGTTCTTCTCTTTGTAGGATTAGTGATTATATGGATCTGACCCCCGTAGACATTGTAGGAAAGAGATGCTACCACTTCATCCACGCCGAAGACGTTGAGGGCATCAGGCACAGTCACTTAGACTGTAAGTAGTACCTCCTGGGGGTGGAGGGGGTATAACGGCGCTGGCGTCACCTCTCTGAAGCATGTTTAGTTTCAGTGCTGATTTTTCCTTCATTTCTCCTGTGTGCGTTTGAGACAAGTGTCAGTGTGTGGTGGGAAAAAGTGAGACATAAATCATATTTCAGCTTGTGTTGGAATTAGATGGAAAGCCGGACCTCAGGCCTAGAGAAATTGCTGGATCTTCAGGCACTCATCCAGAATTTCATGGTCTTTTGTGCTCTCTCCCCCACAAAGTGGTGGGGGAACCTTTGTCTTAAGTGCTGCCTTGACCCTTTCATTTTCTAGAAAGCAACTTCCACTCTAAAATTTGTGGTCTCGGTTTCAAAACGTTCACGGAGGAGTTAAGTTCAAATAGGCCCAAACCACATAAAAATGCTTACTTGACTAGCCACAAAACAGGGTTGAGGGGGAAGCCCAGAGCACATCGTGTGGACATAGCAGCTCTCAAAGGCAGTGTCTTTGCGCTGTATTTCTGAAAAGAGGATTAGTTAGAGGAGTAGGGACCGCCAACCCCTACCTCCTGGGACAGAGAAACTGATCTCAGCTCCTGCCCCAGAATGAACTGTGGAAGACCTTCCACGGCACGTAAGCGGGGCAGGGCTGGCAGTGCTCCGGCCAGGTCCGAGCACAGCTGGCATGCTAGCGTCATCGTGCAGTGGCCTCATCTGCCTCCCTGGCTGTTTGCACTGTGTGTGGCAGCGGTCAGACAAGAGCCCTCGCTGCACTGGTGGACCACTTAGGAAGGGGGTGTCCTCTTCCCAGAGGTTCTTTTTATGACCATTGGTAGATTCCTGAAAGACGAGGGCCCTACCAGCTATATCCCTAGAAGGTTCTAAACCCAGCTCTGACCTCTGATTTTAAATCCAGTCATGCCTAACAACGTTTTGGTCAGTGACAGACCACATATACAATGGTGGTCTCAAAATATTATAATGTCATACTTTTATTGTATTTTTTCTATGTTTAGTTATGTTTAGATACACAAATACTTATCACTGTGCTACATTCACCTACAGTATTCAGTATAGTAACACGGCGCTAAACACATTTGTAGCCTAGAGCAGCAGGCTGTACCACATGGCCAAGGTGTGTGGTAGGCTATACCACCCAGGGTTATGTACGTACACTCCCTAATGTTCACACAATGACGAAACTGCCGAATGACACATTTCTCACATATATCTCCGTCCTTAAGCTATACATAGCCATATAATGCAGGGTGCCACAAATGAGACGGTACAGCTTAAAGTTGAAGCTTTTACATGCAAAACAACAGCCAGGTGGCTTCTGTATTTACTCCTGTCCCGTTATTTGTCATGGTCCAGGAGAGCTATTTCAGGCCTTTCATGCCCTTTGCATTGTTTCCTCATTTCAAACTCACATTTTCAAAAGTATAATGGAGACAATGAGCTAGCCAGAAACTCAAAGTGTGAGCATCTTATACTGTGTTTTTAACCCTGCGCTGGCAACACTGACACAGAACCAAGTTCAGCGTCGAATTCTGTATCTACCGTGTCTCTAGGAAGAGCCTGCCTGCGAGGCTGCTCTGCAGCAGATTCCACTCCCAAGCTGAGCCCATGCCTCGATACTGCTCACCAGGGATTTAGGGAACACACTTGTTGCTAAGAATGAATGGGTGTCGTGTATCGCAGAAGCAGATGGCTCTTCAATTAATTGGGAGAAAAAAATGATGCTGTTTCCTGGAAAGAAACATCGGGTTCTTTGTTGCTGGGAACTCAGAGAAAAGTCAGGATCTTTGGAGGAAGACATAGATATATTTTTGGAACAATACAGGCCAGCGGCCAGAGATGCAGACTTTTAAAATGAATATATATTGTTTTTAGACAATATATATTCTTTCATAGACAATGTAAGTGGGGAGAGGGTGGTGCCTTCTCATTTTGGAGTCTTAATTTAAGGTCTAAATTCAGAAATCTGAGGCTGACAAAAAAGAACTTTGTCATCCTCAGTTATTATTTGGAAAACATCATGCGATCTCTCTGGGATTTGATTTACAGCTTGAAGAAACACAATTCCTCAGGAACAGTGAGCGAGGGCAGTTCATTTCTCCCCATAAAGCAAAGGTCTCCAACAAATACGTCTGATGCCATTCTTTCCGATCTACTTTTATCTCATTTTCAGTACCCAGAATAATTTGAGAGTGCTGAAAATAAACTACTCCACCATTCACTATTGTGCTATTCTCCTCCTAATTTTTCTGGTCTCTTGCCAACTAATAAACAGAGAAGGTATGCTTTCAAATTCTGTGATTTTTTTCATTACTTGATATTGACATACTGGCTATTGCTTTATGATTTAGCCTACTAACAATGATTGAGTTCACTCTTTTAACTCGTACACATGACTTCTAATTTTGAGTTCTTTTAATAACCTTAAACACATGAAAAACAAATAGAATGAGCTGATAATTCTGCATAGTAAAATACACTTCACATATTTAGCTATCACGCTGTGGAATAACTCCACAATGTCAAGTAGCACACAATTAGTAAAACTGTAGGGGGAGGAAAAAGAGTGTTTTGATCCTGAAGAAGTTTGATCCTAATCAGATTGAAATTTCAACGTTCTTGTAGTGCTTAATATCTTCAATCACACACACAAAAAAATCAAACTGATTCCAATGTCAGGTTTTGCATTCTGTGACTGAAATAAAATGCTAAAATATACAAATGCATCTCGCTTTGTACAATAAACATTAACATCATTATAAAGTAAGATTGAGTCTAAAATTGTGTGATGGAATGTCTGATGTTTACCTAATTCTGAAACCAAAGCCAGCCCAGTAACAAAATGACAGAACATGTAATAAGTCTTGGTTGTGTAAACACTGGAAGAAAAGGCAAAAAGCCAGCACAGCATCTTGCTTGTCCAAAGCCCTAGGCTATTACTGAAGGATGCCTCAACTGTGCCTTCTTGGCAGAGGAAGGTCATGGTGACATAGAATCAGTTCACGAATAAGATAGAATTCTAAAACAAAGGGATGGTTAAAAAATAAACCACATTAAGTATTTAGGTTTTCTTCCTAGAGCTATTGGCACAATTCCTGGTTCTATCCATGAAAGGTTTTCGTCATCTGATAATATTTCTGTATCTGTCTTATGCTCCAGTTCATGGATAAAGTTTTTTTTTTTAAAAAAGACTTACTAGTCTCTGATAACCAAAAATACTATCTTTATCACTTGTATCTTTTTTCCTAGCCTAGGCATCTATAAATCCATAAATGAACTTGTTTCTAGAATAAGAAAAGTAAAAGGGAATCTTAGCTGCACCAGGATTTGACAACTTTGATAAATTGAACCAAGGACGCAGGACCATCTCCTCTCCCACTAGGTTAACACAAGATGCCTGATAGTTCACAGGATTTCAGCATAAAGAATCACTAAGAATCACATTATCGATACTAACATGGTAGGTTAGTGAAATTACACAGGGATTCTAAAGCCAGCAACAACTCTCTAAAACCTTACAAAGTGGCCTGGGGGAAAACTTCTTTTCTCTTTTTGATGTTGTGCTCCAGCAGCAAGGCTCAAAGCTCTGGAGCTGTGGGATTTCAGAGAAAAGGAGCCAGAGAGTGTAGGTGTGGTGGCAGTATTTTCCTTCCTAGCACCTTACCCAGTCTGAGAAAACTCTGGAAGAGTTATTTCAGCAAGAGAGGCTTCCACATTATGAGATCATGTGGCATTAAAAAGCATGACGTACCCAATATACTTGGGGGGTGTTAAAAAAAAAATATGGTAGCCTAAGTATTTATTTCTCAATTATAAACTTCTCTATTTCCTAACAAAACTAATACACAGCTACCTGGCATAATGCATTCTGTGCTGCTTTGCATCAATAACCCCTACATTTCCCTCCTGAAGGCGTCTCATCGCCAAATGCAAGCAGACTGCTTAATGCAGGACTAATTAGTATATCCCCTTCCAGTCTGCGGGCCTCCATTGTAATTCCTTCCCAGCTCATTTTTTTCCACAACCGAGCATCAATCAAAGTAAGTGCCCTGCCTGCCTAGGCAACACAAGATGTCCTCCATGCATTTGTCATCTGCCACACAAACAAAGGGGGAATTTAATTGTTGATTTGGGTATGCAGCCATTGCACACAGTAAAGGAAGCTGCAAGTGAAGGAAGAAGGGAAGGTTTAAAGTTTGATGGGTAGGCCAAATGCAGAGAGCGAGCTCAGGGGACTTTTTTCTGTTTTCTGATCTCAGCCTTTCTTCAGGGCTGGTTCCTTCAGGGATTGAGCTGCAACATGGTCATTGGCTGGACTTTTTCCCAAAGCAAATGAGTTTTTCCACTTCTTCCACATGAATATGAAAATTCCTAAGGAAGGAAATGCATGGAATAGCCACCACATCTGACTTTCTTCAGAAGCCCAGTCAGCATACATCATGTGCCTGGCCATTCACTGAAGAGGCTGTCACGTGGGGGCAAGCCAGGTTTTTATGCAACAGTGAATTAGTATTATTAATATTTTGAGTCTTGGGGGCGGGGGGCAGGGGAAAGACACGTGCTGATTTTGGCTTTTCATGCTCATGGTCAGGCAAGCATAGAGCAAAGGGACCAGCAAGAGGGTCTCACTACAGCCAGGGTCCCCGCTCCACTTCTGGGCAGTGAAGTCTGTGGAGCAGTGGCATTAGCATCCCTGGGAGCTACAGAAATGCAGAACTGCAGGAAGCCCCCAAGCTTCCCGAATCTAAATCTACTATCAACAAGATCTGCAGTGGACTCTTGTTAAAGCTTGAGAAGTACTGACCATATGAGTATTTAGAAGGCACTGTTTCACACGGAGTAAACAGTAAAAACAATTTTTTTATATTTCTTTTTCCTCTCAAATTGGATAAATTCTAATGATAGTAAAATGTGAGTAAAGAATTGGCTCTGAGGGCATCTCAATCAATGTTCAAATGAACTAAGCAATCACTTGATAAAGAAGTTGACTTCT